CCTACATTATTCATAGGACGCACTCGGGACATTTTTTAGCCAATAAGCAATTTAGTCTGCACGGTGGCTGTCGCATAGTCATTTCCAGTATCATCAAAGGTCCAGGCTGGCCATTTACGGACTCAAATGTGACAAACTAATGTTTGAGTCTAAAAGTGTCATGTTCGGACAGACTGAAGCTTGCGTTATCAATAAGACGAAGTTGCATAGTTAGCCATGACTTGAAACTATAGTGTGCATGATGACGGTCCCTGAAAGTGATTTTCAACACCACTGTAAGCTTAACTTACAAAGCTGTCCAGTGTGCTAAGATGCGTGGTACGCAGGCCCAAAGGAAGATAATTAAACTCGATGATCGAATGGCTTCACGACTTACCACCTCCCAGACGTAGGTTTTATGCGACGCGTCAATTTCTGGTCCCTTCGGAGCAGATTACTTCTATTTCATTTGCAGTATGAAGAGATCTTGAAATTACAGCCGAGATTCTATAGTGCAGATGAAGTCGATCTATGTTGGGAAGCTGAGAAATTGTGTAGTTATTTCATCTTACTAGGGATCGTCGACAGAACCCCGACGGAGACTCGCGCACATAGCCTTCCGCTTAGTAGTTGAACATTTGATTAAGGATCGCCGTTCAGTAATGCGATTAACTCGAGCCATCTATCCTCCAGGTATGTAATTCACGCCGCACGACTACGTGCCGACTGCCTCTTAGATTGATGACTTATCTTATGGAAGCCTGACTTGTTCTATTCGACCAGCATGCCCAAGTCAACGTAACAAGGATTATTTTCACAACTGATTTGCTATAGACAGTATGTCCAGATGTCTGTCTGCGCATCGTATGAACGGTAAGGCAGAAGAGTTCTTGACTTTCTGGAGTATAGATCTCCTAATTGTCAACAATGAAGTCAACACCAGTGTTGGACAAGAATGCTTCTCGAGAGCAAAAAGTACTTACTGAGTGTTTACCAACCCCTTCTGAAAAGATCACGAAATTTTGTTAGGTTGTGATCTGTAGAGCTGTATGAAGCCTGTGCTGGTGCCGGCTTACCTATGCCCGATAAGAAAATAATTAGGTTGTTGAACTTCAGGCCCAAAATCTGACTACAAAATGGGGTGACTGGCATGCAGATATCGCACCTTAAGCTCGGGAGGTTAGAAGCTTGCGTCCAAGCTACTCTTAGGTAAAGCTATGAACATACTGGCTTACGGAGCAGGACGATGGTTCAGCTTCTTCGAGATGGCTGAAATGATGAGAAAAACCCCTGCAAGCTCATGAACAGTCCCGGTAGCGCCATTACAACACTGGTTGAGGACAAGTTCACCTGATGTGTTCCATTAATAAATGAAATAAGACGGAAACAATGAATAAGAACTGATATGAATTTTCCCTCCAAGTAATGTAACCAGTGTTCTCACACTTGAAATGCCACTTGAGTTTTTATAATGAACATGTCACGTATACATAATGTATAGAATCGTCTCTTGGATTTTGCCGGCAAGCAAGAATGGCACCTTCAGAAAGCGGGTAGTTAGGCGTTTGAAATCTAACCTCCTCACAACATCACTTCTTGTCCGGACACGTTAAAACATACTCCAGATGCACTACCAATGTAAGCCATGAATTAGCAGATATATTAAAAGTTTTTAGCGTATCCAGCAAAAGACATCTGATTAGCGTTTGTGATACGAATCAATACTTTGCATGACGCATATTGGTAGACTGCTTCGGGTTCCAAGAACCAGGGCGGTGGTTCAGATAGTTTACCAGGGTATAGGGAAAAAGCACACGGAAACGAAAATAACCGCACAATAAACCACACTGATCATAGGAAATAGTGACTCATGTAAGACATGCTCCAGATCGCACAAAAGCCAGTTGCTACTGAATAAGACTGAAGCTTGAAAGCCGGAGTGGGGTGGGACTACTAGATTCGCAAATGTGGACGTCACCGACGAGAGAAAAATTTGAAATTTTAATTTAGTGGTATCGCGGTCAAACCTTTAAACAGTATTAGAGTGGAACGAAGTTGTAGGTGTTCGCGTTTCATTGGAAAGTGAAAGGGGGCATAACACCTGGCACTTAAATCTGCAGAGGCAAACCACTGGAAGTCACTAGTCAACGGAAGCATAATGTTGAAGGCAATGACGTTCACGACTACTTCGCAAACTGTCACCTTCTGAAAGGTGTCCCGAACCCCGGTAGATGTTTACGAGGAGTTAACTTCGAATCAATCCGATAAGCTTGTGCAGGATAGTATGTTGATCATCGCCTGTATCTGCAAACCAATAGGTATGCAGGATCCCGGGGCTTTCCATCCAAGAATGGCTTCAGTTTAGATTTAGACAAAGTTTACCGCGTCGGCTTCACAAAGACAACAAAACTGTCCAAACCCAACTAACACAACCCACGTTAACCCATGGTCGAAGAAATAACCTACCTATTGATACAAGACCAAAGGTTAAACTCCTTAACACAGATCAACTTCCAGCATAAGATGTTTGGTGCCGTCACGAGCAGTTGTCTTGGGTGTGGAGACGCTCATAGTACAGTGCTAGTGAACAGAATAATCGATGTGTGTGCATGACATTCCAAGCGAAAGGTCAGGATAATGTCCAGTGCTATGGAAGAGGTGCAAAAAACGTGCAAGCAGTCCTGAACTGAGAGGCGCGATGGCTCATGCTCATGGAAAGCAAGATGCTTGAATTGTTAGTCCAGACTACTCATGAGTAGGAAATCGCTACGCCATTTTCTGTTCACTCCCATTGCGTTTGGGAAATTCATGGGTTTCCGAACAACCGCTTTATATCACACCTTGTCGGACAGGCACAGAGATCAAACATGAAATCAGTTTAAAATACTAAACAATTTTGCCTTGCTGTTAGCATAAAAACAAAGACATTGCTCAGGGTGGGGCCGTCTGATTGGCGAGCCAAGTAAATGTTTTCAAGGCTTCCAGTGTTCTTGTTCGGAAAGAGGGGTCATCTATATGAATGGCAGCCGCCTCAGTTTTTTCAAGGATTCATTCGAAAATAACCTTTGATTGACTTTATGGTAACTGAAAGATAATGCTAAATGACTAGGCCGAATTGGTCCGGTGGTCCGCACCGACTAAATATGTACCGCTCAACTCGTATTACTTGGATCCTACCAAGTGCAAACCAATCATGGACACTAGGACTATGTCGGTTGGGTACGAATGATGATCCTCAATCCCAGATTAGCGTCCCTTTTGTGGTATGCAGCTTGGTTCCGACCCTGATATCTTGTGAAGAGGCGGAACCTTCGGTGTGCACGCCTTCGGTAACAAACCCCACGGTCATTGAAATAATAAAGGTTTTCAAAACCCCGAAATTCAAGTCGGTGCTGGTTGGAACCTTGTCGACCTGAAATAGGGGGATAACATCGACTTAATCCTCAAAAAGGAACACATAAAAAGCGCTGTTGAATAAGCTGACAACCACCATGCATTGGTGATGGTATTACCGGTTGGTTCGCTTACATATTGCTGAGGGAACAGGAAACTGGGCGGATGCGCATTGAAAGCGATAGCATTATTGCACGAGTGTCACTGACTGTATGACTGGGCATTGTCTTCCAGTGTCACTTTCTTCCGTTTTAAGCTCTCAGTGTGAAAGTTTTGAATGAATAAAGCCTAGATTTCAAGCCCTCAATCTTTTCCATTCTTTTTCTGATTATCGTTGCACTCCATCCCTTGTCGTACACAACAACAAATAATGAATTAGGCCCTGAGGTCCCTATCCAGAGAAGCAAAAGTTGTCAACTTGACTGAGTCCACTGGTTACTGTTTTCATACTTCGTTGCCAAGTAAAAGGCCATCCACCTCTTGGTCGCTTACACTCAGCAGAGGGTCTGATGAAGAGAGCTCCGCGAGGTTGACAGTCCTCTAGCACGCGACGTGCATGTTCTAAGTACGGGCTGTT